GGGCGCAATTCTCCCGGCGGTTATGTAAAATCACCAAAAATTATGCGTCATTTACTACATACCTCAATGTCGCGGAAAGTACGCAATTCACATAGCGATGCCAGCATAAAATTCATAAACGTCCGTAATTTGAGAGACGCTAAAAGCTGTGATTTTCCTTCAATTGCGCGTGATACCACAAACCTACTCCGGAGTTCGAATAGTTGCTCACTTGAAGTCCACTCCATAAAAGGGGCTAAAGTACGCGAAATTCATCTCAAGATCGCACGAAGTGCGAATCCGTTGAATCCTAAGAAATTACAAGACATTAATCTGGGTTTCGCGGTAAATACGCGATTTTTCTCGCGAAACCCGAGAAAAGCGATTTTGACATCGTGAAGAGAGGGATGAAATATTTGAAAGGTGCACCTGAAGATGGTATTGTTTTCAATAGGTCTAATATGAATAATAAAATAGATATAACACTCTCGGCATACAGTGATGCCGGCTATGCAGACGATTTAAAAACGAAGCGCGGTACATCAGAATGTGTGGGGTTCTAGAACGAAAATCCTGTTACCTGGGACATCTCAAAGACGGCCCATGGATTGTTTAGTTCAAGTTCTCCCACGAGAATTATTCAAGCATCCCGTACAGGAGCCGCGTCTCCCGCAACTACAGACAGTTTCCCACCCCGCAGGAAAGGAAATCCGAAATTTAGCTCCCAGATCTGTACTGCCAAATGTAATTTTCGATAAATTGACAGAATTCGTAAGGGGGAATAGGCTGTTATCTGCATCCACAAAAGAACCCTTTCGTCTGCTATAATGGAATGACAAAGATAATACAATTTTCATTGTGACAAGAATTTATAGGTTGCCACAACCAAAAGTAAACTCGGCAGAATCAGTTGCTGCATTGATCCAAAGAGTGGATTTCTTAACACAACGAAAAGCTGATATGAAAACAATATTCTCTCAATAAATCCAATTCATTTCAGTGCAGTTGTAAAAGGGATAGAAAACCACATTCTTTATTTTTACCTTCTATTCTTTTAAACTCTAAGAAAGTATATTCTTAAGTAGTTATTAGTGGTGATTTGCCACACTTAAAACAATCAGCATGGTTGTGTTTAAAAGTAATGGTCTCTGATTTCCGGAACAATAGGGGAAAAAATATTAAACGACGTGTTTTCCGACTTTGTCAATTTAGAAGCAAGTTCACAGCCTCGACATGCGTTTCTTAGCAGACGATCTTGGTGTAGAAGAGAAGATTATCTGGGATACTTTTGCCGCAGGCCACGGTAGAGGTTCTGTCGATGGAGTACGCGGTACCTAAAATCGGCAAGTATGGTTAGCCGTCGAAGCACGCAAACTGCATATTAGGACATCTGAAGAATTTTATGAGGGTGCAATGCAAGACCAAAAAAATTACCATACTATGTGTGCCTGAATAGGATGTGCATAATACTTAAGTATTACTTATTAAGTAATTTACTAGAGGAAAAACGAAAACAAACATTAGGCTTCTAAAAAGAGAGTTGGACAACGCTCACAAACAAGTGACTCCGGTAACGCAGAGTTACCTAACATGTGAAGTAAATACTGCAGAAACACCGAATTTTGTGAAGAACACTTATTATCACATAAAACCCAATCAGGAGCGAAGTAAGAGAGAATTTTACGAGGAGTTGTTTTATTTAGTAAAAAGTAGTGATCCCGTACCATTCGTGACCCTATATCAACAGCAGCCGCTTTGTTAGAGACAATAGATGCCCAATTCTGGGACAGGTTGCAAGCACTGGAAAAAAAAACACATTGGATCTATAGTCCTGACTCAGGAAAACATCGATAAGAAAAAAAACTCTTGATTCAATCGGATTTTTGTTTGAAACAAAACGAAATCCGCTTAAATTAAGAGGCTTGGTTCTTCATTTAAGCTAGATTCTGATTGAATGAAGAGTACTTTTTCTTGTCCATGTTTTTACGAGTCTGAACTCTAGATCCAATGTGTTTTTTTCCAGAGAGGGGCACTAGTAGATGCTCAATTTGTAACTGAGGATATGTTCATAGCAGATTTAGTTGTGTGGTATCCAGAGTATGAATTTCTGAGGGTGGTAGAACCTCCTCAGAACTCGGAAAACTACATCATTGCACATGTACCGCAACATCTCGACCCGAATCACACAAGTTTTAGGGATTGCATCGGGCCACATTACGTGTATGGTATAAGCCTCTTTATGACTATGATAGGCAAGTCGCTATAATCTGCAAATGTTGTACACTGGATGCGACGACGTCGTGTTACGTTTTAGGGATTGCATCGGGTCACATTACGTGTATGGTATAAGCCTCTTTATGACTATAAGGCAAGTCGCTATAATCTGCGAATGTTGTACACTGGATGCGACGACGTCGTGGCACTTTTGCACAGTCATTAGGCTTACCCCAAAATGACCCGAAATTGATCCACTTCTCACCAACGTTACAAACATGACAATCCTTTCATAGAGAAGTTCGAGCGCTTTGGCAAGTACGGCGCGAGTTCTTTTGCGAGTTATGGATCCAAAGTCAAAAGCCGACTCTTTCAGGGTAAGGGTTTCAAGTCATTTTAGACACCTAGATAACGACGAGTTGAAGTCACGTCGTGTCCGTGTTTTTTGACTAATTCTGAGTGTAAATTGTACTGATAACATTATGTACCTCATAGAAATGTGTGCAGGGTTCTTCACATAACTACTGGTTTGAAAGTTTTCTCTGTTTGTGCTTATCACTGTGAAATATCACTGAAATTCCATTTAGCGTAAGCTTGCACCACCTCAAAAGAATGTGAAGAATGTCAATAGTTAAAACGTAAACAGCCTAAGGAAAGTAAAGTCGACTTTAACAAAGCCTCGGTGAGCCAAAGGTGAGCGATTTTTACTGTACGAAAATTTGGCAACGAGAGGAGAAGAGGGAACTGTTATAATTTTTGCGACGGATGATAATCTGCGGAAGCTAGCATCTTCCCCCATTTGGTTCGCTGACGGAACTTTCAAAGTTTCCCCGAAAATTTTTACTCAAGTTTTCGTCATTCATGGTATGTACTTGGATAGCGCTTACCCTTTTGTCTACGCTCTGTTGGCGAATAAAAGTGAAGAATCTTATACAACGGTTTTTATGCAGGTGAAACAATATTACATCGATAATAACATAGCCACTTCAGGGGATTTAACTAATATGTGTGATTTTGAGCTAGCCATCATCAACGCGCAGCAAGCCATTTTTGATTATGCAAATAGCAGACTTTGCTACTTCCACCTCGCACAATCAGTGTACAGACACGTACAGGATGCAGGATTGCAGGCTCAATACCGAGATGAAAATGATAGGTCAATAAAAATCGGTGTCCGCAGTATCCTCGGGCTGACGTTGGTTCCAACTGACGACGTGGCAGAAGCCCTCGACTTACTTGAGGAAGATCTGCCAGATGAACTTTTAGGAACAGTGGAGTACTTTGACCGGGTTTACGTCCGAGGAATTGCAGCACGAGGGAGGCGTCGAGCGGTCCCGCCTCGATTCCCACCAAAATGGACCACTAGACAAGGTACGATTTTAAGCAATCTGATACATGTTTCTTAACCAAAATTTTACGTAGAACACTATTTGCACAACAAAAATTACTGGGACTAACTCCTAACGAAGATAATAACGTTTTTATTTCACATTGGTTACGAAGAGTTTGAGCTGCCCGCTCACAAGAAACTCAAAGCTCTACGTGAGTCAAATCGCGCACTTCAACGGTTTCAGCAAGCTTCTCAATCGAGAAATGTTCATTTCCCACCATGTGTTGTTCAAACTATAAGCAATTTGCTACAGCTGAGCCAAAGCGTCAAGATTGAGGTTGCCAGATTTTTACATCGCAGAGACTGTCATGATAACGTTCAGCGCGCGATGTGAATTACGTAGAGCATTGAGTTTTAATGAGCTTATAGTTTGAATTCACGCTTCAGGAATCATTAAATATCTTTGTAAGGAGTTGATTTCGGTAGTTTTTGTTGTGCGCATCGTGTTCCACGTAAAATTTTGATTAAGAAACACGTATCAGAATGCTGAAATTCGTACCTTGTCTAGTGGTCCATTATGGAACCAGCATCGAGCGACACTGCTCTCTGGTCCTCGTGCGAATAATGTCTGTGAAGGTTGGAACCGTCGTCTAAACGTAGTGGTTGGGAAGAGCCATCCATCTTTTTACCACTTTCTGCGGGAGCTCCGGAAAGAACAAGGTGCCGTAGAGATGATGCTCCTGGACCGGCAGCTGGGTAAGGCCGTCCGACCGCCACAACGTAAAAAATACAAACAGCTAAACGAGCGGCTGCAAAATCTATGTCAAAAGTACCAGCAGTACGAAGAAGAAAAAACCCTTCTAAAGTTCTTAAAAGGATGTGGCCTGTGCATTCATCTTTGGGTACGTACACCTTATTCACCTACGGTACTCGGTGAAATTACACATTACGTGAAATTGCACGTTAGGTGAAAATGACAGTAGGTGTAGTGGTCCGTAGGTCCGTAGGTGAAAAGTTTTAGGTGAAACGTCTTAAGGTAAAAAGGATTAGGTGAAATATCCAATAGATGAAAAGGCGTCAGGTGTGTAGTCCGGTATCGCCAAGCCTCGAAATACACTACACATACGTACGCTCACGGCGCGGCATGATATGAAGAAAAAAATATGAGGGAGAAAATTTACAAAATTGCATGCACTTTTAGGGAAAAATCGCAGAAATGACTTAGAACTAATGTAATGGGAGGGTTCAGACGAGAAAATGAATACTTGAAGGGTCCAACCGATCAACAAGTTGCTGATATACTCACAAAGCCGTTATCAAAGGCAAAACATCACAATGTTCAAAAATATAATTGTAAAATAATAGAGATTCAAAAGCTTTTCAAGACTAAGGGGGAGTGTTAAATATTACGTGCTAATAATTGCATTAATCTTGCCTAACTCGGCAATCATGACTAACAAGAAGACCAAGAGTATATATAAGAAATAAATTCCTCTCCCAGGACTCAGCGAATCCGGGGTCGATCCCCGACCAGTCAACGCTGAACCCTCTGTCCAGTATCATTCGTTTTTTCAATACATAATGTATATGAAAGATTCCGCACCAAGCGATTTTGTCCCAATAAAGCGGTTGTCCCGATTAACCAGTGTCCAAATTATGCGGGGCCGACTGTAAAATCATGTAGTGTCCTAAGTACATTTCGACTCTTTACTCAAGGCCCAAAAACAATATCCCGTTAGATTTTTGTGTATGAATGTGAGCTTATCGTTCATGAACGTCCGTAACATGAGAAAGGCTGAGAGCTATAATTTTCCTTCAAATGCGCGTGATACCACAAACCTACTCCGGAGTTCGAATAGTTGCTCACTCGAAGTCCACTCAATAAAAGGGGCTTAAAGTACGCGAAATTCATCTCAACATCGCACAAAGTGCGATCTCCAGCGAATCCGTTGAATCCTAGGAATAGTTACAAGATATTCGTCTTGATTTCGCGGTAACTACGCGATTTGACTAGCGTTTATACATTCAAATTCAGAAATTAGCTGCGATCACAGCGATGCCGCGAGAAAAAAAGCTTTTTCTTGAAGTTACTGAAAATGCGCGCAGTTTACCACAATGTCGTGGAAAAACACGGAAATTTTTCAGTGGTTCATAAAGATCATCGATATCAGCGATCAGCAGTGGCAAGGCGTGCTTCAAGATATATCGATTTTTATGCCATTTAAACCTATGGAAAAGGATCGGTAACGTGGGTGTTTGGAGCGAACACCTTAGTAATCGAGTCTTTAACATGAGTTAAAATGGCAGCAAAATCGAGATATCGCAGTGCACGCCACGCCACTGACAATCAGCCCGCTGCGGAAGGACATTGCGTTAAATTTGAAGAAAGTAACAGAAAAAATATTAGATACGTACCAGAAGTGGGTTATGCAATTGTCCGATGCCAAGATGAGAGGACTCGCGGAATAACACCGTTACTGAAACCGCACTGCGCACTAAAAATGGGCTGCGAGAGGATTCCTTTAATAGATACTGAAGTATTTGGTAAAATTTATAGATTCACCAGAAAATGAATCAAATTCTGCTTAACTGATTTAAATTCTGCCCAAATAAAGTGTTCACATGTAACATCGTGAAATTAATGCAGGAGAGGAAACACCATGAAAATAAAGTAATGATGAGGATAATTTTAATTATACCGAAAAATCAGAAATACAATAAAGAGGGACCATTTCAGACGATTTCATTCAGAAGGTGAGGGACAATTTGGATGAATGGGTGACTTGATGAGACAGGGAAAATAAGGAAAGAAAATGACACGAACATTCAAAAACTGAGAGGAGCAGATAAAAGATATTTGAAAAAACCTAGGAAAAATGTAGAGACAATGATGCAGACTGAGAATTGAACTACATTTAAGAATGTAGACATTTAGTGTTTTCAAGAGAATAGAAGAAGTTGCACGATTTTGAAAACACTGTAATTGCGCTGGTTCCTTTTTCCTGAATGCGATCCATTTTGGAATTAGGCTAAAACTTCTGGCCTTGTCCAAAAACAACGCGGGTACTATTGGTTCCCCAAAAGGATAAGTGTTTTCACGAACAGGCCGGGAATTAGTTCCTGATAACAAAATGTAGACACAACGTAAAAAAAATCCTCAAACTTGTTGATTGTTCTTTACTTTTACTATTCACATTTTTCTCTCATTGCTGGAGGTGTAAATACTAGAAAGAAAAATTCAAAGCACACAACAAAAGTAAGTCAGCAACACTATTTCATGTTTTTCATTCTTCGTCCCAGGTAAGGTATAATTAGAAAAAGATTATTTTTCAATGCATTTATTTAGTGATGAAATCGTGTCTTGCTTTGTCTTGTTTAAACTGTTTCATTTCATATTTGTTCGAATTTTGATTGGGTGAATGTTTGTCCTTCTCTCGTGAATAATTTGGGCAATTTGTT